GTGTCCAACTCTGTCAAAAATGTCCAAGTCTTTCACCACCACGTGGCCATTCAAGCGAACATCAAATACCTTCAGGGTGGAAGAAATGACAGAGTCAGAGCAGATCAGGCACGTGACGGTTGAAATGGGAACAGAATAGGAAAGGTCTCTGCTCTTTATGCACCCAGAACCAGAAAGCATTGTAACATGTCCTGGCCCACTCCTTTGGGAAGGATTCAAAGCCCAAAACCAGCCAAGTAAAGACACTAAAGCATTAACAATGCTTCAAATACCCTGAAATCTGCCTTCTCCTTTTAAAACAGCCCCTAGATCTGCTGTTCAGACCTGAGGACAGCACATTTTCATTCTAGTTTATTCATGTTTCTCTTTCACAACTCTTCTCCTGTCTGAAGACCTGCTCCTACCACCTTGGGGTGGTTGTGACACACCACACCCAGGAATGAAGCCATTTCTAACTAACAGCCTGCAGCAGAACAGAGAAGAGGAAATAAGCTGGTGAAGAACACAGGGTTTGAAGGAGGTAAAATGTTTAACTGCTAACCACATCTGTAAATTCAGAGTGAAAGTCCTCCTCAGGGCTGTAATGACTCAAACTTCACGCAGCACCTGGGGAATCCCAGCAGAACCACATGAAGGAAGAGGAACCAAAGATACCTCAGCCCTTCAGTTTAATCTGAGGCTGCTTTTTGCATCTGTTCTGTGAGCTAGCCCCACCAGTTCTGCTCCCTGAAATACTTCTCTGGCAGGAAGGCAGCACAGTGCTTAAGGAGATCAGCCCTAAAGAAGCTGATGAAATCAGAGGAAAGCCAGACTAAAACTCAAACCACTCCTACCCCAATTTATCACAGGGCTTTGAGTATGGCTTGCTTCTGTTTCCACTTCTCTATATGAGGGATTTCAAAAATGGACAAGGATTATTCTCCTCTAAAAAGCAAAAAGCAGATGAATTTAATTCTGCTTTCAGGATCAGACTGAACCAGTATCAAGTCTTACTACATTTGCAAAAAATTGTTTTGAGTAGGCTATTTAACCCAGACCACCTCCCTGCTTCAATCTATGCAATACTTCCTCCAGCACAACTATGCTGTCAAGTCAGAAGTAAGTGTTCAAGAAAAAGGAAAAAAGCTTTTCAAAGCCAGCACAGCCTGAACAGGTTGTAAAACCCTATTGCTAGTTATGTTTAGTTGCACATATTTGTTTGAATACTTTGAAATTAAATTTTCCAGTCCAACTGTATAAGTAGAATGTGGAGAAGAGCTCTGAAGTTTCAGAGCCTGGTAGAGGTTGGGACCTAAGTTAATTTACTCCTTTCCTTCACCATGCAAAGCAGCAGAGGTAACCTGAGCACACACAGTCTTAGCCAGGAACTCGCATCAGAGACACACAAGGAGCTATTGCTTACCTTCTGTTGAGACTGTGCAAAATAGACCTCTGCAAACTTCAACACCAGCACATAGTCACCCTCCTCTTTGATGGGAACTTCATAGCCAAAGGTCTCCTCGTTGTAGCGCTCCGTCTGGTACAGGATCTGGTCCTCCGCGTTGGAGCGCAGGATCGGCAGTTTCATGCCATAGTCAGAAGCTGGGATTTGAGCACAAAGAGTGAGAGGAAGGGTTACATTCTGAGGAAGAAACACTTTATATATTCTTGAAGAGCTTAACTCCATAAGTGGCATTAGCACTTACAGCCATCAGACCCATCTCCCCTGCTTGCCCTGACCAGCAAGGTGGCAGCACTGCCAGAGCAGAAGCAGAAGAAGCTAAAGCCCCAAAATCCAAGAAATGTAGGAAAACAGGTCTGAAGACCTGCTGCAGTCTACGACACAGTAAGCTCACTCACACCATTTCAGAAAGAAAAGCCTGTTTCAAAACCATTACACAAAGCCAAAGGACTTGGTCAGTGGCTCTTGCTTTAAAGAGTGAAAACACCTAGAATATTTTTAAGATATTTTCACATTTCAGACTCCAAGTACAAAACTAAAACAGCTAGCATAGGACTGACTCAACTCATTGATGCAACAGATCTGAAGTTAGCAGTTGATAGCACTGGGTTTTAGAGACTCATCCCCCTCAACAAAGAAGTAAGGAATGGCAGAAGGGTGAAAAGCATTAGGCATCTTACAAAGCCCTTTCTTCTCACCACAGGCCCACAATACCTGTCAGCATGAAGATGGGATGAAGGAAGCAAAAAAGATACGCAAGCATTTCAAGAGCACCAGCAGCTCCACCAGCTGATGTTCTCAGAGCCACCCAGCTGAAATGGGTGCTGTCTGCAGGCACGCAAAGAGCCCCTGAGAAGGGCCCAAACACCATGCCCAAACAGTACAACAACTGACAAAATAAGAGAAATTACAAAATGTGCGTCTTTTCAGTGTTTCACCACGTCTACAGCAGTCCCCAACAACTTTAACCCCACTTGGTATGCTACTGTATCAAAGCTCCTGTATAAATGCAAACTGCACATCAATTCCCCAGCAAAGCAGGGACAGGAGGGAAGACTGTGGACACCATCCATCCACTGGCACTTCAGGCAGAAGTTGATCCAGACGAAGTTCTCTGCTGACACTTACCTCTCCCAGCCCCATTTCCATGGGAACAGACACTGCACGGGCCAAGACAAAGCAAGAACCTCTAACCCAGCACACGTTGCCAAAGACAGAGCCAATGCAAACGAGCGAGAGGAAATTAATGCCAGTTCTTAGTCTCCTGTTTCACACAGAGCTCCTCAGGCAATCTTCCACTTCTCTTTACCACTCAAACTTGGGCATAAAGACTGAGGACTCTAAACACCAGAAATATAGAGGGTGAAAAGTTTAACCTGTCCTCCCACGCAGATATTTCTGGCCAGCTACAGATTACAGTGATAGCAAACCAAGGACTCCACAGCAGGCAGCTCCTATTAAAGGAAAGCCCGCACAGGAAGAAAGTCCTTTAATAGCCAAGAAGGTAACTGGAGAGGAAGACCTGTCACCTGCATGTCAGAGCTCTGCTGACAGAGTTGTGGAAGTAAGATGGATTTTACAGCACGCTGGGTGCTCACAGGGAGCAAGCAGTACACACCAAGCTGTAACTCAACTACGTTTGGCACCTGTCTATTCTGTAATTGCCATCAGCACAGTCAGTCCTTTAGGGCACAGCAGCTGAATGGAGGCTTGAAAAAAAAGGTTTTAAATTGCCCAGAGGCAGTACAGGCCAGAATTATTATCCCTAGGTCATTTCCTCCCAGTCAGCCATACATTTCTGCTATAGCCCTTACATGTCTATCAACACAGAGGAGCCCAGAGTAAACGAACAATAGTGCAATAAAAAGCCATTGAGGGAAAGGCAGCTGAGAGCTCAAAGGGGTAAAGTCTCCACTGTGCCTGGCACCACTGGCTGATGCAGGATTACTGTAACAGCCTGCTGCTCAGAGGAAACACCACGGGCTTGCCACAAAGGAAGTGCATGTCACAATGTGCTTGAAAAAGACCCTTTTTTTCTCTTCAACTCAGAAATAAATAGTTCAAGTCCACAAGGACATTCAAGTCACACATGTGAGAGGTTTACGAAGGGAAGTTGCTCTACAGTGATCAGGGCACCCTGTGCGACTGCAGCAGCAGCTTCCATGGGTGTGAAAAACCGTATTAGAATTTAAATGTGACCTCCGCTGTATCCAGTGTGCCCAAAAGGCTCTCCACTTGGGACGGCACTCATGCAGGACAAACAATAACAGTTCCAGCTGTACAGCACAAGAAAATCCTCACCATCCTACATGGAAACAGCAAAGGTTAGACTCAAAAATCAACAGAGAGCTGATCTCCACATTCCACCACTCACCTGTACCTGACAGCAGAGCAGCTCAGCACAGCTAGCTTTTCAATCTATTAGTGAACCAACTAAGTTTTGGTACATCAAATATCAGACATGCACAATTCAAACTGTGGTGGTCTTGGAGGAAGTAGGAAAAGTGCAATTAGTTTTCCATCCTGTCCTAAGCAGTAGGCTGAAGATTTTACTGACTTGGTAGTTAGAGCAGCTGGTGATTTCCCATCTGCCTCTACTTCTGCTCGTGTCCCTGCCCTTGAACACCCAGCCACGGCCTGGGGCATGGAGCAGAGCAGCCGGCTGTACCTTCCCCCTGCGGGCCCAGCACCGGGGCTCAGCGAGCAGCCTGTGCTCTTCGCTGTCGGATCCAGAATGCTGCAGGCATCAGCCCACCGTGCGCGACCCAGATGCGGCTGCAGAGGGCTGGAAAGGCTTGTTCCCACTGCACCGAGCGCGCTGCGCACTGGGCTGTGAACCGGCGGATCCTGCTGTAGAACACGGGCGCTTCAGTGCAAACGGGAGTGAAAAGAGACCGGCGGGCGCACGCGGCAAGGCTGGCAGCTTGACTGCTCCCGCCGCCTTTCCAGCCGAAATCCCACTCCAGCCCTCGCGGAGCCACTTCCCCTTGGGCATTACACAACCCCGCAGGCCGAGGGCAGGAGCACCATCCCGCAGGGCTCACCCCGCCGCCTCTGGGGCCGCGGGCCCGCACCGCCACGGGGACGAGGGACGCAGCCCCGGCTGGGCCCGGCGGGAGAACAGGGGTGGCCGCGCTCCCGCTGGGGACAAGCGCCGGCGCTGCCTTCGGACCACGACCGTCCCCGGGCGGCCGGGGGAGAGGAGACCCGCCGTCCTGCGGGGACAGACCCGCCGGGACTGCAGCGGGCAGAACGCGCGGGTCCCGGACGCCGCCAGCACAGCGGGACCCCGCAGCCGCAGCGGGGCGGAGCGGGACCCCGCGGGCTGTCCCGCCGAAACCCCCCGGCCGCGGCGTGTCCCCCGCCCTCACCTCGGCCCACGCGGCCCTCGAGCGGGTCCTTGCGGAAGTGGATGCCGTTCACGTCCACATGGGCATCGCCGCCCGCGTTGACGGCCCAGACGACGCTGTCGGCGATGCCGCCCGCCGCGCCCCGCAGCAGCAGCGGCAGCAGCAGCACGGGCGGCAGCAGCGGCGCCCCGCGCGCACCAGCGCCCACCATGTCGCGCTCCCGGCGCCGCGCCCGCCCCTTCCTGCCGCCGACAGGGGGCGGCTTACCCCGCTGCCGGGGCGGGACGAGCCCCGGCCAATCCGCGAGCCGAAACGAGAATATTAATTACCTGCCCGCCTGCCATTAGACGGCCGCGGGGCGGTATCTGCATATTCATAAGGCGGCGGGCCAATGAGCGGCGGCGATGGGCGGGCTGGGCTGAGCGGCGCGGGGACACGGCGGGAGCGGCGCGGGGAGCCGGGTCCCTGCGGGTCGGGGTGCCGGGGCCGGTACCGCCCGCGCGGGAGCGGAGTGGCTGTGCAACCCGCTCCCCTAGGAGCAGGCGGGGACGGACCAGGCTCCCCAGCGCCGTGCCTGCAGCGGGGACAGCCCGGCGGGCTGGCCTGAACGCCGGCGGCTGGTGGGCAAAGCCCGCCCCTCCGCGCCGCCAATCGCGGTGCTCCAGCGCGGCGGAACGCGGAGCACGGCGGGGCGGCGGCGGGAAGCGCAGACGGAGGGTTGCCGCGGCAACGGGCGGCGCTGCGGAAGCGCGGACCGGAGCGGAGCCGGTGTGCTCGGGGAAGGGGCTGGAAGCGGACCTAGGGCAGCGGGAGCTCCACCGCCGTCGGGGCCGGCTCCTCGCCACGTCCCGGGAGCTCCGTGCCCGCTGTGCCCCGCTCGCTGCCTTGGCAGAACACGCTGGTTCTCCTGCTCGCCCCTGCCATGGAATAAGTGGAATAAATGGAATAAGTAGCTGCCGCCCGCCCGGTAAGGAGCGAAGTGGCCGGTGGCGTGCAAGCGCCTTGCACCGCAATAATCTGCATGCGAAGCCAAGCAGGCAGTGGAGGGGAAGGCGGGGAGGTGACCGTGACACTGCCAGCGGGCTGAGCCCTGGCTTGGGCTATAGGAGAGTGTGAAATCCTGGGTTTGTTTTCTGGAGGACTTTGGCAAGGTCTTGAGTGGCTGGAGTGGGATATCCCAGGGGGAGGTCGAATGAAACTCACTCCCTACACAAAGGGGGAACAAATAACTTAATGTTTGCCCTTCTGTCTGATCACAGTGTTCCTTGAGGCATCAGATACCAGCCAGGCCTCAGGGCTGCACTCCTGGCACCGGCTGCATTAGCAATGCCTGCTTCTAAATGCCAGTGATATTTTATTAATTCAAGTCTTTCGCAAAGCATTTGCTTCTATAAATAAAGACTTGGTGCTGCAGACTGAGAATTAAATGAATTTGTTGCTTTTGTAATGAACCTGTGGGCCTCTTAACCAGACCCAGCCTTGGAGAAGTGAACTGTTTGGTGGAATGCATAACCACCCACCCCGTCTGCTCTGCCCAGGCTGGAGTGGATCCCAAAGCATGTTCCTGCTGCTCTGACATCAGTTCTTGGGCCCATGATATAACTGGCCAGGACAGACATGGCACTGCTGCACTCCCACACAGCTCTGCTGCAAGGAAGGGGTTCCTAAAACTGCAGGGTGCCTTAGGAAAGCACATCCAGATTGGTGTATGAAATGTGTACACTTAGCACCTCTCCAGATTCAGCCACCTCACGCTGATTCCTGGCAAATCATCTCAGCGTTACAGACCCCAGCCCTGGCAGCATCTGATCAAATCTGGGCTAATCTCCTGTATCCCTGCTGTGTTTGTGACCTGTTGGGTGTCCCCCAAGTTTTGTTACCAAAGGAGTGCAAGCAGCCATGGCCAGGACAATGCTGTCCAGTTGGTGAGGCTGAGGGAGGCCTCATTAGAGCTCATTTGTGCTGATTACAAATGATCCTCCTTAATTCTACACTTTCAACTGTGATGTGTGGGTCAGGAACACAACTTTGAAGCAATAAACACTGTAAGTGTTACCAGGTGTTCCCAGGGTGAGCATTTTCTGAAAACTAGCTTGGTTGATCATTTCCCAAGAATCAGTAGTGCTTCACCAAGCACGAGGGATTAACTGAGCAGCAGTGAGGAGGGACAGGGTGTCCTTCTCTGGGGCAAGAGGAGCCCCTCACCCTGGCTGACAGGCTGGTCACAGCTCCTGGCAGAGGATGGCAGATGCTGTTTGGCCTGTGTCCGTCGTGTCCTGCACTGCTGTCCCAAATCAATACCTGCCATCACACCAGCAACTTGATGCCAGTTTGTGCCCCAGATGTCAAAGGCCCCATCCTGTCACTAATCCACTCAGCCATCAGTCAGTCCCTCGATGCAGGCTGGATTTACACCAGTAACCTACAAGTGAAAGGCTCAGGGTCATTTTCTCAATCCCTTGACCTCTCCCTGTCCCCTGGCAGCTGTGCCAAAATGACTGTCTTGAATCACTCCTGCCTGGTCTACCTAGCACCCTGATTGTTCACAAGCAATGAGGAGCACATGGTTAGGGTATTAGCCATTTGCTGCTGGAAAATGGGATCAGCATTTGGGATGTCTAAAAAGAGCAGCAAAAAGATGTGGGACAGAAGCAGGCCTCATGGCTAATGAGGTATCTAAGAAATCAGTGTGAGCCAGCCCCATTGCCCCATGGCCCTCCCAAATGGCACAGGGCTACAAGGCTCAGCTGCCCACAAGGGACCAGCTGTGCCCTGCCATGCAGAGATCCTTGGAGGCAGCTCCCTGGTACGAAATTGGAAATAAGAGCAAAAGGATTATCTCTGGAATTAGATTATTTAGATTGGATCTTTAATCTCTGCCCCTGTCTACACAAGGAAATAGTAAAACTCCCTGGGATTATTTGGGGTTTGTTGTGAAAGTAAAATCAGGCTAGCAGCAGGAGCTCAAGAGCTTCTACTGGAAAAAATAAAAAAAAAAAAAAAGAAGGCTTTTGAGATCTGCCCTGTCTGACCTGTTCACTGTATCATGGTGAGACCTGGCAGAAAAGAGCTACAGATGATTTGGCAGACTCCGCTTTCCTCAGAAGGTTCCAGGACTGCCTCTGTAATGACAGAAAGGTGTCCTGCAGCCAGCCTTTGCCTAGTACTCCTGGGATGACAGGAACAGCTCTGCCACACCACAGACACTTAAGGGACTGCTTAAGTGCAAGTGGCCGTGGTTTGCAGGGAAGATGCCCAGCCACCATGATGCTGCACTGGGGATCAGCCCAGCCTCTAGACATGTGGTAACCATTTTAAATAAAGACTGTCCTGCTGTAGATGCTGTGGGCAAAAGATGTGACTGCTCAGGGCAGGGTCTGGGAAGGAGCAGGCAGAAGCAGCCCCCACACTTGTGGCCTCTGACTATCCACTGGGCTCCTGCAGGCTGGCTGTGGCACAAGGCAGAAGCCTGAGCCATCCCCAGTGCCACAGGCAGGCACAGCACTCTGCAGCACACAGGCAGCAGCACAGCTGTCCTGCTCCTTCCTCAACAGGCTCCAGTGTAAGTGAAGCACAGTTGTGTACCAGCAGACACAAGCCTGCACAGCCTCCCCTCCCCAGTATTACCCTAAACACACTTGTAACACACTAGGACTCTGGACTCTGTTCAGTTTATCACCCTCATCTCCAGCATTACCCTCAATAATACAGCTACTGAGCCAGTAGATGTGGAGATCTGTAAATATCCATGTGGAGATCTGTAAATATCCATTTTCCAATTTCTTGGCTCACACCCACATTTCCAAGATGGGACCAGCTCCATAGATAAACACACACAGTGGGCATACACCCACTTGCAATAAACTCCTCTATTGCTTCACTCCCAGGTACCTATCTGCACTCCTTGCTTTTAGGTGCACACACACAAACCCTTCAGTGCACACACCTGTGCAAACACAAGTAAACATGCACACATACACAAATATAAGGAGAAACATAGTCTTCTGTCACTGGAGCATCAGCCATCACTATAGCTACGCTGGCTGGCACAGCAAAAGGAAAGCAGAAGAGAAAATCTTCCTTTGGGACATGGGTTTGTGAACCCTGAGAATGTGATAGAGAATCTCGGAAGTGAAAGATTTGAGACAGAGGAAGCAGGACCTTGGTCCTTGACCTTCCAGTTTGAGTAAGGAGGCAACCAAGAGGAAAGCAGCTCCCAGTCACACCACAAAACGCACTGATGATGGTGTCCTTTGAAGCCAAACAGAAATTAATCCTGGTAACTTGTGACTGAGCCTTTGCACAGAGAAAGGAATCAACTGTAGGTCTGGTAGAGTAGGGAAAGGGAGTGGTAGGTTGGGAGCATCTTGGGGAAAGGAGGATAAGATCTGATGTGTCTGTAAGCAGCTGGTAGGGCCTGGAGGCTGCTGCACATGTGCAGCATTTCTGAGTGTGAAGAGGTTGGAGAGCAGGACACTGCCACACAGGGAGGCTCCCAGCACCAGTGGAGTTACAGCTCAGCTACCACAGCATGGCCCCACCATACATGTGCTCACAGTTGTTTAAAATGAACAGAAAAGGGTGAGGTTGGCTATTGCTGCTTATCCCCTTCCCACCCAGCTCCCCTCTGGGCCCTTTCTCCCATTGCTCCTTCCCATGACAGTGCAGGGGCTCTCACCTGTGCCCATGCCAGTGGATGGGGACCCTTTGCCCTGCCCTCACAGTGAGGCACCTCCATGCCCCTTGGCCATGGGGACAGCAGGAGGGAGGGCAGAGTCCTGACACAGACTCTGTGGCCAGCACTGACTCCCCTTTCTGCAGCAAGGACTTGCCTCTGGATCCTGCTGCAGACACTGGGGTGTGCATCTGCCCAAGCCCTTCTCCCCCAGCCCAGTCACCACCTCTCACAGGGACATCCAGGCTGCACACCATTTCAACGTGCATATTTATCACTTTCCCCCCAAAAGACATATATTTGAATTTAGTCTTGGTAAACATAACCGCAGGAGATGCAAATAAGTGTTGGGGAAGCATAAATAACTCCACACAGATAGACACACACTGAGACAGCAAACACAGACAGGGTTCACCAAGGGAAACCAAGAAGTGCAGAGCACGCCCTGAGGCTGCCACCAGTCCCAATGGCTTTGCTCTCATCCACCAAGCCAAGAGGATTTCTCCTGCTTTTGCTTTGCAGCAGCTGGTGGGAGAATAAAGCTGGGGAGGAGGAGTCTAAAGTTGCAAATATCCCATGAAAGCATCATGGCAAGTCCTGGCTCTGCAGTTTCCTGCAATCTTCTTCAAGGAATGGTTCCAGTTGTAGGAAGTTGCAAGTCTTTCACAGTGTGAAAGGGTGGAGGGGCATGGGGACCACCATGAGGGAGGAGCAGCAGGTCATCTTGCAATGTCCAAATTGCAGCCAGCCGATAAACCTTCATGTAGGAACATCGGGGCTAGATGCTCCATCTAGGTCCTCTTCTGCCCTCTCTAAGGTGCTGATTCTTCTTTAGCTGAGAATAATCTTCAACGGGACATCATGCGAACAAACTCTGCAACCAACAACACAAGACAGCCCTGAGCCAGAAGGCAGCTCTCATTCACTGGAGACAGCAGCCAGGGTGAGACTGGGAGTCCCCAGGCTGCCAGCAAAGCCTGTGTGCTCCGAGACTGGCCCTGAGAGCTCACACAACATGGCCTTTAATCCTCGCATTAGATATGGCAATAAGATCCCTCTGGCAGGTCAATTCATTGCCTTGGACTCCTTCCCAGCCACCTACAGTCTTGCTCGCACAAGAAACTCTTTGTGCAACACTACAGCAAGCATTGTCTCCCTTCACTGTAACGTCAGGGAACCTTGATTTACACTTTTGGGAACATGGTATGATTTCTTAGTAAACTTGCCATTTCACAGAGATACCAGTGTGAGAAAGCATGAGAGTTGTGCCAGTATCTATACTGGAGTTCTTGCAGAGAAAAGTTTACTTTAAGGGACTTCTTGTTTTCAAAGATACATGTTAACTGTAAGGATACCCTGGATCTATTTCTTGACTACCCTGCAGTTTGTGAAGTCAATTGCAATTGTTCAAATTGAGTGTAAATGCCATCAAATATAAATGTGTTTTCATTCTGCACTTGAATTGCTGAGGAACTAATAACTCTGCAAAGAGGAGGGCAGTGGAAATTACCCCCTTGACTTCTCCTTTTCCATTGACAGAGGTGTCCTTTGACAACTAAAGTGGTAACTCACAGAGAAATTGATACTGGGATAGCATTTCATGTATTTTAGCTGTCTAACATAATTTAGCTGTGGGAAACAAGGACAGCTACTGCCATGTAATCAGCCAGTGCATTAGAACAACTGCAGCTACCAGGTACTTTCTAGGAAGATACTGGTGGTATTCTAATATTTTCAAAGCCCTCAGAGGCTTCAGTAATCCCGAGGAATGAGATGCCTTGTCATGTAGGAGACCCAAGAATACTGCTAAGCCAAAAAAAATTATGTCAATTTTACTTTAATTTCATAGTTCCTGTATTTCACCCTTACTGCAAAGGGACATCTGGATTTCTACCAGAGAAAAAAGCAGCCTGTAACACTCTCACACCTTCCAGCTCTTATATCTTCTTAGCTGTCTGATATCAACTGCTTCCTTGCCAGAAACCCTGGGCTCTATTAATATTGCTTCTGCCACAGCTAATGGCCAGGATAGTAGCCTAACCACTCTTATTTTTCAAAGTCCTTCTGGCATGGAAAGTGTGAGAAGAAATTTATTATCTCTAGGATTTAACATGACACCTATGGATCAGATATCTGCAGTCTTAGTGAGCACAGCTGGCATGTGACCATCTTCTGGCATAAAGGCACAGAAACAAATTCTCTAGAAAGCCATATAACAAAGGTGAGCCAGAGGAAATGGAAGGTGCAATACATTCTCCAAAGCAATTCAGCCACCCCTTCGCAGCTCTTGCAATAGATTTAAAGAAAGGAAAATGCCCCATAAAACAATGGCAGGCACAGCATGTATGCACCAGGATCTGTTTCTGTATGACAGGTTCTGTCTCTCACCATGCTAGAATTATAGAGACCCAGTGGAAACTGAGATGCAGCAAGGGAGGATACACAAATGAACAATTCATCTGACTGAAAAAATGAAGTTATTTTTTCTCCATACTTCAGAACCCTGGGCCATGAGCATGCAAGTCTTCCACTTCAGCTTCTGATCTGAAACTCTGACTCTCACCAGGGGAGATGGACAGTGAGCACTGATCCCTTCTCACCTTCAAAGTCAACACGCCCATCTCCATTCAGATCCACGTCCCGGATGATCTCCTCAATATCCCGGTGACCCACCTGCTGCCCTAGAAGTTTCTTCATGGCTTCTCGCAGCTCACTGGTGCTGATCTCCCCGTCTCCATTGGTGTCAAACTGCAAGTACATGAAAAATACCAGCAGGAGAAATACAGTTAATGGAAACAGATCTTGCTCTGGATTGGTTTTTTTATTGTCTTTCTCCTAAGCGCCCTGTATTTTCTCCACTCCTTCCATGTTCCTCCTTTTCCTTTGGATCCAGTCTGTCTTTTCTCCTCAGAAAATCCTTGCAAATGCTGTGTCTGCACCAGCTTTTCTTTTCCTTGCCTCAAGAGTTCCCTTATCTTAGTAATGTTCTCTGTTCTTCCCTTATTCCATGCCTGACTGGGCTCTTTCTAGATCTTCCACTGTGCTGCTCTCTCCTCCTCCTCTTCTCATCTCCAGTGGGTCTTCTCTCTATCCTGTCCTGTGTTGCTCACCTCTCTGGGGGCACGCGGAATGGATCACTCACCTCTCTGAAGGCATCACGGAGTTCTTTTACACCAATCATGTCTGCAGTCTCTGCTAGAAGTTTTGGTCCCATCAGCTCAACAAAATCTTCAAAATCCACATGGCCACCCACTTGGGACAAGATGAAAGATTGTGTGTAAGAACTCCATAAGTTAGCCAAGACCAGCACTCACTTTGCATTTCTTTGTGCCCCAGAGAGCGCCTGACCTTCCACAAAGCAAAGCACAGAAGGTGTGGGACAGTGGAAGGAAAAGGAGAGGTAGTTTTACCCTGAATTTTCTGTATTATGGGCTGGGCAGAATGAGCCCAAGTTATTCCACCCTAGGCTGCCATGGACTGTCACACCCTTATTGCATCACATCAGAGGCTTGATCGTTCTAGTGCTTATAGCAGCACTGTGCTGTGCCTGTGCCAAAGGGCACGGCAAGGGCACAGCATGATGTTCCTGCAAAGCCTGGGCAGTGCCCTGCAGCAGTGGTGCAGTCCTGCTGCATCACAGCAGCTAATATATGTCCAACTGTTTATTCATTGTATTAGTTCTTTTACTTGTTAGTGCCCTGAGAGCTGTCAGCAACACTCTCAAATTCCCAAGCACTTATGTGCCAGGGTTATCAGCTGCTTTTGTGTGTGACTGGTTGCATATGTCACAGCTGTTCTCCTTCCCTCGACCAAGTAATTGGTCCTTTTAACATAATCCTGTGTCAGAAATAACATGCACTAAATATGCTTCTCCCCACCTGGCTGAGGGTGATACCCTGCACTGCCACAGATGAGAGCTGACAAAAACGATGGTGAAAGACAAGGGTCACAAACAGAGTTACAGTGAATCAGATGCATTTGTCACATCTTTCCATGACTGCAGCAGATGCTCCCATCTGACGCTGCTCGCTCACAGCCCATCCCCAGGCACACAGCAGATACACAAAAAACCACCACAGACCAACAGCCCATCCATCACCCATCTAAACAAAGCATCCCCATCTTCCCAGGCTTGCTCTTCAGTCTGACACCATCTGACAACAGCTTCAATGTGACAACACACAGACCCTGAGCACCGGTGCCCGACTGCACACATTAAGGGCAGTTTCATACCTGACAACATAAGCAGGAAGGACAACCCTTCCACTCACTGTGCCCATATACAGTACAGTCCACACAGTCTGTTTGATACACAAAAACAAACATCGACTTCTAGGGACCACAGACAAACAGGGGAGATGATAAGAAGTGAAAATCAGAACCAAAGAAAAGAGAGGGAAAATCCAAAGGAAAAGAGGCAGCCAGAGACCAAGAGAGCCTGAGGCAATGATGCAGGGCACAGCAGCAACAGGCAGGTACAGCTGGGTGTGTGTTACTCACAGTTCATGTTGATCTGCTGGGATAGCTCTATTAGCTCCATCTCAGTAGGCATGTAGCCCATGGTCCGCATGCAGTTCCCCAGGTCCCTGCAGTTAATAAACCCATCCTTGTCTTTATCAAACTCCTTAAAGGCTTCTCTTAATTCTGCGAGAAAGGAAGAACAATATTGTCAGTGACAGCTTGAAATACCTTTTCCAAGAAAACTCCCCAGAATACATAGCACTTTATGAAGCCAGACTCTCTAAGATACTCAGCATTTCCCACCAGATCTCCCTACATGAGGCAATGACTGGAGCAAAATTAAGCTCTTCTGTCAGCAGTGCTGCTGGCCCATTCCTGGCAGGAAAGTTTGCTTGGACCACGAGTGTCACAAACACTTCATTGCTAAACTGTGCTCCCTAAAGAAACTGCAACTAGTAAGTTTTTCCAACATTCACCTCTGCACTCTATTATATACCCCTCACTGCAGGGATTAGCAGGTAAGACAGCTTCCTTGGAGCTGCATTATAGTATCATGCTCCCAACACTTTCTGTGGGAGCTGGATGGACAGCAGTTCCCTAACACCAATAGCCCATTACTAACTTATCCTCTCACCCTGAAGAATATGGAATGGATGCAAATTCCTTCACAGTCAGAACTCTTTCAGTTTTATATGTTACTATTCCAGTAATCATCTCCCTTGATTTGCCCCAAATTATTTTAACCCATGGGGGCCAGCATGAAAGGGCCAGCCAATAAGTTTGCACTGGGGAGGGAGAAAGAGGACAAAAAAAGGAGCAACAAATTTTACCTTCAATTTCTTCTGGACGCAGTTCTCTATCCTGCAAAAAGAGAACATATTATGTTAAAGACATTTGTTGGCCACAAAATAGTTTCAAAATAGCACTTGTTGGTACAAAGGGTTCTGGAACAAGCCAGAAAGTGAGAGAAGAAACAAGAAGGTGATGACATGTTTAATACCATCTACCTAGGAAGGCTTCCCAGCTTTCCTTCCCAAAGAGAGGGGTGTTAACCTGCACACATTTCTCTGCAAGCCTCTCTCCCTCTCATCTGGTGGACAGGGGGATGACAGGTGGTCCCTGAACAGAGCAGACCTGGACCAACACTGCAAGATTTGTGGCCTCCCCACTGATGGTATTATTGGCACCTTCATGAAGCTGCTTCATCATTCCCCAGCACCAAGTTCTGGAGCAGAGACTGTCCCTGTGGCAGTTATGATCTCCTCTGGAGCTCTGATTGTATTTCTACTGCCACTCCCGCTGACACACACAGATCAAAGCAGCTGGAAGCAGTCCTTGTAACCAGCAGGGCTAGACTATCATCTGCTCAGATCACTGCTTGATCTCTGTCCTTCTGGCAGGACAGCAACAGCCATGAGGTCTCTCACAGTCAATGTCTCAGTGACATCTCCTACAATCTGTCCCCACAAAAAGGCAGTAACTTCCCCATTCCCCCCAGCCTCAACTCCATATACAAGCATTTTGAAACCAGTCATGAAGGCAGACACACAACATATACATAATCAAGGTCATCTACAAATGAAACAGGACAAGGATTCACCATGTTCAGGAAACACTGCAACTTCAAACATCCAATTTGAATTTCTTGGAAGAAGGGGGAGGATATAAGAGTATAGGAAAGTTCCAACACTGCACCAGGAAGAAGAGATGAGCATGGAAATGCACTGCTTTCTGGTTTAAATGCCCTTTCTAATTCCTCTCATGGCTCCCAGGCAAATCCAAAACATCTGAGAATTTGGAAACACAGAAACGCGATCTCTTTTGTCGTCTCACTCTCGGCTTTTCCCCTCAACTGTGGGGAGTTTCTCCTTGCCTTCCAGGTGTCCTCCAGCCTCACCACATGTGCCTGGAGACGGTGCCTTTGATCAGTTGGAGAAGGATGATCCTCTGCTATTTAACCACGGGCTCCTCTGGAAACTCTAATGGCAGCTGCTCAGAGTGCATAGCAAACTAGGACACACACTGGTTTACGTCTGTGCAGAAGTGGGCTGTGCCAGAGAAATGACCAGCTTGCCACCCATAACCTTCCCAGAGGCATCTCTGTGCTGGATGGAACTGTTGGAGCGTGCTGGCTCTGCTGTTTCATCCTTCACAGACCTGGTATTTTCAAACATGTCATCCCATTTGTTCTGCTTTCATCAACACCAAGTAATAAAACAATTCAATCTCCTCAGACCGGATGCAGGAGGCATAATTGCCCTCCTGCCTTAGATAAAATAACAGAAGAAAACCACCCACAATCGGTTGCAGCACCTTGTGCACTTCATTCCAGAGACTGCAAACACTGATCCCTGGAGATGGTGGCTGGGTGCACAGCAGGGGCAGGGCTGGGAGCACCAGCCCCGCGGTGCAAAGGGTGCCACGACTCACCCGCAGCAGCCGCTGCCTGTGAGAGTGGCCAGGGTAGGGCCTGGGCCCTCCTCCAGCACATGCTCACAAGACCATCCTCCTCCTCCTCCCTCACTGCATTGTAACTGACATCGGTCTTCTGACACTTGTCAGAAGTGGGGGCTTCAGCACGGGCTCTAATTTTGCACACCAAAGAATTTGCATTTGCCAGATACTGCAAATGCAGAAGGAGGGGGAGGGTTTATGTCCCTCCAAAAATCTGACTCAAGTGATAACTAACATCAGGAAGAGGTTTTCTGTTTTAAATTTGAAAGATCCACTAAAATGTTAAGGAGTAAAATTGCTTGGGATAAAATGGGCTGAATCACTCTAAAGCTTTCGGAGAACATATGGGAACAGGAATAATAATACTCCAAGAGTTTAGATCCTCGATATGAGCAGAGGTGACCCTCAGAGAGTCCATTATACTTAATGGTCTTACCCTCATTTATTTCTGTTCTATGCACAAGAAATCCTGCCAGCCTAGAGAGTCAGTAAAAGTAAAGCTGTGTATTAGATGCACTTTTTCTACATCAGGGTACTTAGAGACATCACTAATCCTATTTTGGAGACCTCCCAGGGTACAGTGAGCTTCCATGGCCTAAGCAGGATGGACACTTGTCCAGCTGTCCACTAGGGAGTTGGACCTATCTCCTGTGACAGGTGGCTCTGTGCAGGTCAGCAAGTGTACTTGTGCAAGTGTGAGTTTCATGTTTTAGTGACCTGCCACAGGGACTGTGTGATCACTTAGAGGCTGAAGGTTAGGAAGAACAAAAGCCTTTTGATCAATAATGACACATAATTACTCTTCTTTGAGTTGTTGGTTGAAGCAGAGGTTTCAGAAATAAAGACCTACACATCTCCTACAGCTATAGATGACCATATCAACACACAAGTAAAGCAGAGGTTTCTTACAGAGACAATAAACCTCTGGTTCTGAGACAACTGGGGTAAGCTTTGTTTCACCACGAGAACATGGAAGGCCCTGGGTGAATATCTGACAATGCACATATTTACTCATACATGTCCATAAAAGATGTGTTAATCATATTAAATTCTGTTTGCCTTTAAATTCACATTATTGTAGAAGTAGAATGTTTGGGGGCAAAAATATGTTTTAGTTCTTGTAAAGACACAATACTGGGTGCATACATAAAGCACATATTTTTATTGTTTGTATATAAATGCATACATTGGATGCATATGAGCACCTAGTTACAATAGGTGAGACTGAATGAATAGAAGTGGTTTTGCTATTTCTCTCTCACTGTGTGGGAGGGCAATACCATTTGGTAGCCTGGCACTATTTGCAAATATAAGGACAGCCTGATGTTCCTCAGTTTAACTGGCTGGGATTGCTGCAGTGTCAGGCTGGGTATGCCAGTGCACAAGAGATTGTGTCTGGGTGTCTGTGAGGAGGCAGCTGTCTGCTTATATCTGCTGGTACTAGTGTGCTCACTGTGAACTGATAGGAACAGTATCAAAAATGGACAGCTTGTTCCTGATACAGATGCCCTGATTTGCATTTAAGTGGCTATTTAGGTATTAATGCTAATCTGAGCCTGGGAATGAGAGATGGGTGTCTTGCTGGAATAACAGCTTTGAACACTGGACTCTTCCTGAGTCCATATGATTATTCAAGTCCTGAAGTCCTAAAACCTTTTTCTGAATTCATATGATTATGGCTACTCGAGTGTAGGCTTGGATCTATTTTCCATAGCTGCAAGCTTAGAATCCTTTTTTCTCGGTGTTTAGGCACAAGGGTACCTGCACATCCTTCAGGTTAGACATTTGCCTGTGCCTGTATTTGCACTTGGAGCTGGAGCCGGGATGCTCGAGATCCAGGGCTGGGAGTTACAGAGCTCCAGGCAGACGGAGCCCGGGGGCGGCTCCGCGTCCCCGCCTCGCGTCCACGTGGCTTTGTGCGTGTCTCGCCCGCTGGGTGTAACTTACGTACAGGCTGCCTGTTTTCTGCGAAGCCCTTCCTCAGGAAGATGCATGCTGGCCCCAGCAGGTTGTGCATGACGGCGCAGTTCTGGGCCAGCACCATGAGCGGACCCTGGTACTCGCCAGCCGACGACCCCTCTTCGCTCGTCTGGACAGCTTTATAGCTCGTCTTCTCGTCATGGCGGATCTTCCCAGCCAACCAGCAGCAAGCAAACAACACAACAGAGGATGTTACCTCCCCATCTCGTTCCTCTGAAGTTTTACTGAACCGCCTCGCAGAGATATAATTGCTACATTTCTTTTATCTGGTGCACACTGCGTCCCCCCCACCGGCCTATTAGGATTTGTACAGAAGCAGTAAGTCCAGGAGTTCACTTTCAAAAGCTGAAAGAACAACCAGCCACGAGAATTTCTCTTTGAAACAACATCAAACTCTCAGCGCTGCTCACATCTACCCAGACACGGCCCAAAGAGCCACACTCCCACAATCAGCCCCAGAGTTAACACTGCCTTGAACGAGCTGCAAAGGACAAGCTCATCCCAACTTAACAGTCCGTGTGCCAGCCCGTGGCCTGGGCAAAGCTGCCAGGGCATCCCCAGGAGAGCAGGCAGAGCTGCACAGAGCCTCTGCACAGGCTCCGCGTTACTTTTCAGCAGCACAGCAGCACAGCTTTATCACGTTTTCACAAGGCCGCTCACAGCATCAGGTGGCCCTGCCGACTGCAGGCTCACGCTGCCTTGTGCAGTTACTAATTAGTTACATCCTCAGGGTTTGAGGCACTTACTGCCTTGGCCTTTTTAATCACTGACAGTCCCAAAGTGGAGATCAGACACGGGCACAACATTTTTGAGTGTTTGCATTTGCACATTTTCTAAGTGCACACGTCCTGCTAAGCTAAGGCTCCAGAACAGAATCCAGCACTGGATTTTATAAGGAGGCGCTGCTTTCCTTTTATAGAAATGCATTTCCCTGGCTCTGCAAAAAACCTCTTATCCTGATATTCCCATGCAGCTATAAAAAGCCAACACAACCCACAGGACCCTTGGTTTTACAGAATAAACATTAATCATACATTAGATTCCTCTTCAGGAATGATTCTACTTTTACAGCCAGCATTCCCAGGGGTGATCAGAGAAGCTCTGTCACTTGTCATTGTCTCTATTAACCCTTTCCTGAAAGCCTGAGGTAAATTTTCAGGCTAAAAGACCAGACACAAACATCCCCCCATTCACACTCGTCTGAGACGATTGTATCTACTTGCTGTGTCTGCCATGTGCTATTACATTGCATGCATGGTTTGTAATTTGCCTTTTTGTACACAGTCTTACACCAATCTGCTCATGTATAATGTCATGTGAATATCAAGCATCAAAACAAAAATAACTCAAAAAGCAAGCCAGGGAGAAAGAAAATGATGAAGCAGAAAAGCATTTTCATTGCAGTTGTGGCTGAGGAAGGAATTGGT